GTATCTGCGGTTGTTAAACAAGTGCTTTTACGTTTCGGATTCACAAAATAAGATAAAAAAGAAATTCAGTTAGCCAGCGCTTTGAATGAAATAATTAGCGTGAAATTAATAAATTTGTCAGAGTAGTAAGATAAATTTACTTCTATAAAAGGGGATTAACCACTGTCGATTCTATAACATGGAAAATGAAGAGAAGATCATGGGTGTCTATTTTGAATAAAAATCAAGGGTGTTAAGATTTTGTTTTAAAAAGATGAACGAAAACGGAAAAAATCAGACTTTTCAAGTACTGTTCAGGATAACGTACACATGTATGTGTGTAAAATTTCGCAACAATACCGGTTTTAGAGTAAGAAGCACTTTTACTTAGTCTAATCTAAGCCGTTTAGACTTCAACTTACCGGACAAAAGTAGAAGATCAAATCTCAACTGTCGTTGGTGATTGGAATCAACACTACAAAACATTATACATACAGAAGCAAGCAATAATTCGACAACAATATAAAACTCCATTTGTCCATCCATTTTTTTTTTCTCAGAACGACAGTTTGAGATTGAATGTTAAATAATTAGTGCAAAATATCAATGAAAACTTAGCTAAGTGCAGGATCTTTTCATTCAGTTTCGAGTCTTAGTACAAATAGACCTAATATAAAACGTTGAACATTGCCTTTATTGTAGTCATGTGAGTTTGATAATACTAGGCTTTTTGTATCAAATATTGTAATTGGTTGAAACCGTGAAGCGCTGTTCCTCAAACGACAACTGAGCTATTATGCAGCGTATTTATTGACTCTAGATTTTATATTGTACATATATCATAGTTGAATTTAATGTTGATAATTTGAATAATGAACTTTTATTCATCCTTAGTTTTGAATTCAAATAATATTGTTGCTCCTGATGATACTAAGATGATTTTCAATGATACTAAAACATTGTTATTGAATAATAATAATCTAATGAAAGATACGAATGAAAAGTCGTATATTCAAGTTCCATCATCAACCTCATCGTCTATTGACACAAAAAAATTAATGTACTCCGGTTCAACAAAACTCTATTTACGTTCATTAAAAACACTATTAAATCAAATTGAACAAATACAAAAAGCAATTTCAATGCGTTCATCATCTGTCAATTCAAAACTATTCGTCATGTCTGTATTGAAACAATTAAAAAATTTAAATATGAAACAACAACAGCAACATATGCCACAAACATTTTCATCATTATTTTCTCCACCATCAATTCACTGTAAATCGTCAAATAAATTAGAACCAAAAACAATGTCATTCTCAAAAATTTTATCAAGTAGTGAACAGACTCCTACTCATTTTTATACAAAACCGGCCGTCCGAATGTGGACACCCCAAAAGCGAAAACAATTAATCAAAGCTGTGCAGTATGAATTAAATGAAATGATGAAAAAACAAGAGCACCAGTCAAAAGTGAATCAAATTTCAAAGAAAGAATTAGTGCAAGAATCAGAGGTAGAATACAATATGTCAAAATAAGAACAACTTATAAGCAAGTTAGAAAATATTCTATTAGCAAACTGCAAGTTAATGAAAATTTTCGTTTTGATTGTATCGTAAAATATTTTCATCAGATTTTTATAGAGAGAGAGAGAGAGATTCATAGTTTCATTTGTCAATCTTTCGAACGACGTTTCATAACAGTTGATGTACACATCATTATTTTTCTTTTAGAGCGTACATTATGTAAACGACATCAAAATCTGTGATATAGAAAAAAGTTTGGATTGGATTCATATATCTCAATATCATTTAGATAATCAATGGTCATCAATTGCCTGTAAAAATGCTTGGGAACAAATATGTAATGATCGTATCAATCAAGAACAATGGTGTGAACAAGAAGAACAATTATTAATTGATTTAGTTAAACATGAACAAATAATTGATGATCATAGTATGGGTGATAAATGGTCAATGATAGCTCAAATGCTAAATACTGGCAGAAGTGCGTATCTCTGTGCAAAACGTTACATGCAGGTAACTGACTGAAATATAATTTCATCTTATTCATTATTTGTAGATTCATGCTAATCAGTGCGAGTGTGTATATATATATTGAGATTTTAACTCTTTCATAACGTCACACAATCACAATAGAACATCCATCAAAGTGGGTCTTTGATTTTTTGTTAAAACATCTAGTTCTTTCAGCAAATTTTAGACCCAATAATAATTTGTTGTTTTTTTTCTTTCATTCTTCTGACAGGATAAAAAGAGGTGCATATATTCATGGCAAGAAACTAAAAAAAAAATAATTGTATATAATTTTACGAATTGTATATATTCGTTGAATTTGGAAACAAGTAATATACATCTCTATCGTATTCGTTTTATCAAGTCATAATCAAATCTTTGTCTATGATTTTAAGAGCAGACCTGCTTTATTCCGATTATGTACTACCTTCGTATAAACGAATATATTTGAAAAAGAAGTACGTAAACAAATAACTAAGAGAGAAAAGTAAGTTTTTTTTCCTCGAATTGTTTGCTCGTATAAAAGAAATTTTTTTTCGCATGTTTATATTATGATGAGCAGTCATTGAGCGCTTGTTGAATCATTTTGTACTGAAGTAAGTGAAATTTAGAAGATTTTCTAGAAATTCATAAAAACCTGTCGTTGATTTGTTTACTGTGTTTGTCTCATTCCAGTAACAAGTTAAAATGCATTTCGTCTAATAAAGGAAAAGTATGCATATATACCAGTAACAAAAATTCTAAGAAATCATCGTCTTTTCTCACATTGTACTTCAAACAGCGTTTCATCGGCTTCTTTATTGATACAGGTACAGCGACATAGCCTAGAGGTAACGTTTTCCTTTAACCACGTTGATCCTACTGCAATTATTTCAAGAAATTAGTATTTTGAATCAATCTTGGATAATGAGCTTCATATTCACTGTTATTTTTGATTTAACGTCTGTTAATATAGTTTGTTTGTATGGCCTTATCCATCGATAAATCACTTTACACCTTGTCGTCTGTTTTTCCTGATTATTTCTAAAAAGCTAACACACATAGAATACAAAAAATGAGATCTTTTTTCTGCTAAAAAATAAACCACACAAAAGACGACATTTTATCCGTTAGCAAAATGATTGTGTTTTTCTTTCTAAACCAAGAGCAGACAAAAAAAATAGAAATCCGACGCTTTTTCTTTAGATATTTAAGAGAACAGGTGATTATTGATTATGACATGATGAATAAAAGATGAAGTTTGTGAGCTATAATTCTTTGTGTCATTTTCTGTTTAGATTGTTAATGAAAAATATTCTAAACGTTTTCTCGATGATAATGAACGTTCATTATTAATCGACTGTGTACAACGTGTTCGTGAAGGTCATTATATTCCATGGAATTCAGTATCCTATACTTTAGAAACTCGTACTCGTGAATTTATATATTCACAATGGTTTTATATTGATCCAAATTGTAAACGTGGACGATGGACATCAGCTGAAGAAAAAGAGCTATTATGTGCAGCATACGGTGATAATGGTGTCAATAATAGCAAAACGATAACAAATTGGCCATTGTTAACATCAACTATGCGAACACGAACGTCGCGGCAGTGTCGAGAACGTTATTTAACACTACAAACATTAAATAATAATGGTCATCTAGTTCAAACATCGAATATCAATAAACAAGCATTTACATTTGATGAAGATATGTTAATTATGAAAAAATATTCAATATATGGTCCAAAATGGGCTAAAATAGCACGTGATATTAAAAATAGAACGGATAATTCGATTTTAGTTCGACATAGAATGTTAATGAAAGCAAAAGAAAAATGGTCATGGTATAATAAATCAAACAGAATAATTAAACAATTCATTAAATTTTTTTATGATAAAAATTATTTACAATCAAAAAACATCAAACAAAATAAACGAAATTTTTATATGGGCAGACCACCAACTTTAATATCATCAGAGTCCACTGTTGAAAATGATGATTTAGATAATTGGTTAGCATACAATGATGTGGTGGAAGATATTGTTAACTTTGGTTTTTATCGAAAAGGTTTACCGTTTAATATTACGGATGATGAAATACGCTGGTTCAAAAAGAATCCAACGTTGACAGTAAAAATTGCCAATATTGCTATTAACGAGTTTCGTGATAAAAAATATTGCCACAGAAAATTAAAGGTATATCTTATTGTTATTCACATTGTACGACAATACCTGCACAAATTATTTAGTATTTTAGGCACTGATGAAACCTTGGTTCGAAAATGAAGATCAAATCAATATACCCTCTGATTGTGATATTCGTACTATGTTAAATCAAACATTATCATATGGTCGTAAACGAAAATTAATAATTACTACTGAACATTCCCAAAATAAAATTCAAAAACTAGTGCCTTCTTCGACATTGATATTCGAAACAGATACGGCTAATGTGAATCTAACGCAAAACATTAAGGATGACATTGATGAACAAGAACAGCTTTCAGATTCACGTGCACGAAATGTTTTGAAACATGTTAAAATAAACTTTGCCAATCAACTTATTGACCAACTTCTGAATCCTCAATCATCGTCAACAAAACATTTTAAAAATATATTTCATCAAACATCATTTGAAAGTTGTGGCTTATAGACTAATATTACGAATCTATTTTATGTTGTTTTTTTTAAGTTTATCATGAATCTGTGACATCTGACTAGATGGAAGTTTTCTGAGTTGTTAGAAATGCAGTGTACATGTTTTTCTATAAAATAAGGTGTTAGCAAGCTCTGTGTGAATTTTGCTTGTAAAGTCTGTACTCATTCAGGAACAAACTCTGAACCGAGCTAGAGCCTAGACTCGTAACATCGTTCTACTCCTTCTAAATGTACGAATCTCTCTGATTATTTTAGATATTTTTCTTTTATATGAAAGAAACAAAAATGGAAAACTATTCATGTATTAGATACATATGGTTGGTTTAAGAAAAAATTCGATAGTATAAAGTGTGCAAAGCAGGATGTTTTAGAATTTTGATTTTTGACGGATTTTTACAAAAACGACACCAAACCAATATGTATTTTGATCGTTTAACTTTGTAAAAAAGTTGATTACATGGGAAAATATCTTTACTAAAGTTTAGCATATTGTTTGTTGTTTAACGGATTGATAAACTGTTCATGCTGTCATGGTTATTGTCTAAAATCTAAAACACAATACTCATTTACTAACATATCTTATGCTATTAAGTTAATCGAGCAAAATATTTAAAACCAAAGGTATCCTTGACACGACATATTTATTTTCGCAAGTAAACTTCTAGCGTTTTGATTTACAGAATTCTAATGATTTTTGAAACTAAATATCTTTTTGACTTACGGTCGTGTACCGCTCATATCAATGCTAAAGGATTTTTTGAGAAGTTTTTCAACTAATACTCAATATACACGATTTAAATATTGATGAATTAAATGAAGTTACAGTACAGATAACAGCTAGTAGTGGAACAGAAATAGAATTGGGTATAGAAATGACTGTTCACTATGTTGAACGATCAACAAATGGATCCAAAAAAAAGCTGAATATTTTTGATAAATGCACAACCGGCAGTCAAGGACCACTACATATTTTAATACAACAAAATATTGCAGCAATTACTATTCGTTCCAGTCTAATGAATAATTTGGATCTTCTTGAAGCAACTTTAGAAACTATCCCATTCAGCTACTCTGTTGAGTTCTCACTTTCAATAAGTAATTACGAATATCTTTGACAACGTTAAAGAACAAACAAGAACTCATTACGATAATTTACGAAAAGAGAAAGAGCATTTTTCAGATGTTGATAATCAAGTACAATTGAAAATAATGAAAAGGAAATATGAGAAGATATGCAAAGGAAATTGAAGTAACAATTTCAACATGATTATTTATGAACTTCATTCGCACATTAAGTAATGCTAAAAAATATATTGTTCAAAAAAACATTTATTAAAAATTTGATAGACAAACTTATTTTCTGTTTATTTAACTTGAATTTGTCTGTCAATTTGTTACCGTTTTTTTCACAAAGCGTTGTTTCTACGACTTCAACTAGATACGTTGTTGTAATCATACTTTTATGTATCATAGAAGACCTTATTCGTGTGTACGTAGCTTAATAAAGAAAAAAATTGAATATGACACAATATACGAGAGAGAAAGAGAGAGAAAAGTAACGATGCACAAAACTAAAAAACAACAAAAAAAGAAGAAGCAAACAAACCTTATAGAGAAGAATAAAAACTTGATATATTGCATTTTTCTGGTTTTAAATTGTTCCTGTTTAGAATGTACATGAGACAAAGAAAGAGAGAACAAAAGAACGGCGACTGCTATACGTTCGCATTTTTCATAAAATATAGGGAAGAATTTTAGACCGTTTTGAATTTTCATTAATTGTTACTATTCCACATACCTAGGAAAACAAAAAACGGAAACATAAAGAAATATTTTAACGTACATCATTTCGATAATTTTTACACACCACTTTCTTTCACAGCCATTTGTAACAAATATTGAGCTTGATTAATTTGAATTTGTGTACCAATAATTGTAATTATCCGATCGCTAGAACCGGGTGTAGGATCATCCAATGTGATACTGGCACCAGATTGTTGACGAATTTGAGAAATTTTAGTACCTCTAGATTATTAAAAAAACGCGTATATAAACATAAACCTATTTGCTTTCTCTTCGAGTTTCGTTTTACCTAGGACCAATGACAACACCAGCCAGTTCATTTGGAATGGTAACCTACAGTTAAATAAAAGAGTTTAAAACACGGAATAAGAAAATGATCGTTCAAAATACCTGGTTTGTTTCAACAGGTTGTGAATACATACCACCTCGCCTATCAAAATCGATTAATGGACGAGGTCCTTGGTTGTAACCATTGCCAATGGAAGGCATATATTGATCACCACCACCACCACCGTATTGTTGATTATACTTTCCATCTCGATCAACATGTTGTGTTCTATATTGTCCACCTTGTTGCGGAGCCATTGCTATTTGTCCGTCAGAAAATCCACCTAAAAATAAAAAAGTAGTACTTTCTATTCGTACTGAAATATTTGATTTAATGAACTTACCATACTCCTGAGTCGTCTAAAATATTAAAAATAACGTGTAAATTAAGTATACATAAAGATTGAAATGAAAAAGCTGACAGTAGAAATGATATATATTTAATTTTTCTTTTTTACTCTAAAACCAATGATCACTTGAAAAATAAATAACTTACGTATTCATCGTAATTAAATGGATCGTAGAAATGCATCGGTCCACGAGGCGGAGTTTGATCTAAATAAATACATATGATTATTTTTCAAATAAATGTTTTTGAGTAAAACGCCTTCTACCTACCTAGAATACTGTAGATTTCTCGCATACAACGTTCAATATCTTTTGGATGACCTCTGAGAGCAACCACTCTTTCAGTTGAAAATGGACACGTTTGCACAAACACTTTCATTCCTACATTAAATTTTTGTCTAAAAAAACAATAATAGATCAATGACGTTGTTTTTATTTACATGTAGTTTTCACAGAACCACTCGTACATGGTTGCAGTTGCAGGTTTACCTTAATTCTTTAACGCGATCTCCTTTAAAAACAAAATATACATAGATTTAGCTCGCATGCATTATCAAGCGTTCAAAAAACTCTCCTACCGCCTTTGCCAATGACTGCTCCCGCTTGACTTTGATGTATAAGTAATCTTATTTCACTTTGATCGTTTTGAATACGTTGATTATCGCGCATTGTCGGAAGAATATCCTAGAACGAAAACATTATTTTAGTCATAATTAGAATGTTGATCATGTCCGAACCTGTAAGGTAGAAATACATGTTTCTAATTCACCGCTGATTGTGAGAACACGTTCTGGGCCATCTGCAAAAAAAAACAATAAAACATTAAAAAACTATCTATTTTTCTAATGTACGTCACTTACCACAATCCGGAACTTGAATTAACGTTTTATGTTTTTGTCGAAGATTTTGGATATTTGATCCACCGCGTCCAATGATCGCGCCAGCATCACGACTTTGTACGAGATATCTGCAGTCGACTTTTGCTGAAAAACCTCCTCCACGTGGTCCACCGCGGTTACGCTCAACATTTTGATTATTATTAGTATTGTTGCTGTTATTGTTGTTTTGTGCATTATTACTGTTGTTCGCCGTTGGACTAGAGTCTTGTTGTTTATTTGAAGAATCATAACTATCCATCATTTATTGTGGTATTAGGGACTTTAGTTCAGAAAAAGAGAGGAAGAAAAAAAGAGAGAGAGAGAAAGAGAAAGGGAGAAAGAAACGCTGAGGTTCACAATTTGATCTAACGTTAAGATAAGTTAAGCATATGTGAGAAATGTGAAAAGAGCATTCAATATACCAACCTTAGAGAACTCTAGTGAATATGTTTGGGACTAGTACTACATTTGCGTAATGAAGTCGGTACGCGCTTTTTTCCAGAAGCAAAGTTACTTGATAAATTATTGTACAATTCTAAATACTTTCAAAAGTGTTTCGTACTATAGTGAATGTATCTGTATACGAGTACTTGTCCAAGTAAACTTATGCAAGTTTTGTCTAATGTTACAACTTGCTAAGTATCCACAGAAATTCACAAATAAACAAGTACCCATTCACGAATACATTCATCAAGGAAGCTTTCACAAGTTTATCTCTCTTAACTGACTATTTTTTACAACATTTTAGCAAATGCTGTTACTGTTGGATTGAGTTTTATCTCTTTAATAGAAAGACAAAAATTATGGAAAGCAGAATTCTGTTCTTCTCTATTTGTTTGTTTACTTTCACACCTAATTATTATCGTTATTATTAATAGGTTAAGACATTGTTTATCTAGTTGCTTATAAATATAGTTAGTTAATTAATTATGGGCCTCGTAAGTCTACTAATTAAAATGATTGTCCAACGGAAGCGCGACTAAGCTTTCCACGGAATCATGCACTGATAAATATCTAATCTGTTATGTTTACTCAAATCGATTGTCTATTTTCCCGCTCTTTAGCTTTTCTATATATATAATTACAAAAAGAAGCAATTAATATTCATTGTAGAAGAGGTTTACTTCTACAGTCTGATTGCTGGAATCATGCAACAAATCAATGTTCATATTCAGATGGTATTAAAATGACAAATCATTGAAGACAAGAACAGGAAGGAAGAAACTCTAGATTGAATAAAAAGTTGTACTAACAGCGAATGTTCGTTTTAATGTGATTTAACGCTATTGAGGGTCCTAAAACATCATAGATCAGGCTAACTTTATTGTAAACAATAGAAGCAATTAGCAATAGCTGATTTTATTCTTTCTATATTACTTCTTAATTTATTTTTCTCATTCTAAACTTTCTTCTTGGACAGAAGGATACAGACATAATCCTCACAATTACTGGAAGCATCGTGCGGAATAAAACAAACTAGAGTCTTTAATGTCGATTATACCTTGATTCAACTCTCTTCATTATTATCGACTAGAGTTGTGAGATCAAAAGCCATGTTTTCGCAAACTATTTTTTTCTCAACACAAGTACATTTTCGATGATGGTGTAAAACTCCGAACAAGGATCCCTTCGGAAGAGAGAGGCTTAACGTGATTGGCTATGTTCATAAACTATTTGAATGGTCATCAACGGATACAGCCACCTAATAATCTTTTTTCAAGGGACCTGTAGTGGATTTCTTGACTTCTTGTATCAATATCTTGATTACGATCTTGAGTGATTGAATATTGTACCTAAGGTAATTCTTGAATTATGAAGTTCCAATTTTTTCAAAAAATTTCTCCAAATCAATAAGTTTTCCCCCGACGACCGTCGGAGCAAACAGGCAGATTCTGCAGTTCTGTATTTTACACTCTTGTGTAAATATAAGTGCAAGTATTTTCACATTGGGAATAACTCCGAGTTCTTGAATATAGTTGTTTAAGAAAACCACCTATGATTTTATACGATCGTATATCTGATGACTATGACTGTCATAAATGAAAACAAAATGTAAAGAAAATTTTTCACTTAAGTGTGTGTGATTTACATAAGAATGTAAAACAAAACGATGATTCAAGAATTTTCAACATCTTGGATACAAGATTCAGTCATATTATCTTGTAACATCTTGAGTGGATACGCCCAAGACCTGGAGTGAAAGATTCAAGAATCCAAGGCCTTGACTTCTTGACGGTTTTCCAAGTTCTTGTGACATTTCTTAACCCAAGATCTTGGATACAAGAAGTTCCACCAGGGCTCTTCTTTTAATATTGAGGAACCTGTTTCTCAAAAAAACCTTAAGTTTTGCTTAAGTGAAAAATTTGACTTAAGTGTGATTTTTTTGTTGAGTGAGTTTCTCGAAAGTATCTTAGCTTAAGGGCTCTCTCGAACACTTTTAAGTTTTCACTTAATTTTTTAAGCGAAAATTTATCTATACTTTATAGCTTCTTTATTTTATGTTTTTTCGTAGTCACACCCACAATAATTAGATAAAAAATAATTCTAGAAGGATTTTGTTCAAAAAATTTCATAAAAATAATCTAAATTTGTTAAAATATGAATGGTTTTACTATATGACCTGTGTAACTTAAGTTCTTTTGAGAAACGTGCTTGAGGGGAAACTTAGATATCCTTTAAGTACTACTTAATTTTTCCCTTAAAAATCCACTTAAGCGAATACTTAAGTTTTTTTGAGAAACAGGCTCCAGATTGCACCTTCCTCGTCTTCTACTTCTTATCGTCTTTCAAGCCACTTTTCTAAGGTAAAGTAGCCTGACCTTCAACGCAAATTGTTTCTGATTCCACAGGATCTCCACGAGACCATAGATGCTGATACTGCTGTTCACATTTGAACACATCATGTAAATGATGCTATTCGTCAATTTGTGCTACCTATGCTGGTTCGTTGTAATACTTTTTCTGTGTTCTTCCTCTAAACTTATTCATCTTACTTCTATTCGTAATCGACGTTTCCGTTCTCTTCAACGTCGACCTACAACTGTTAAGCGTGCTGAATTTCGTTAAAGCTAGGAATGTTGTATTATCTCTCTATTGTCATAAAAAAACTTCCGATTATTGTTCTCTTACCCGCCATTTTCTGATTCTAAAAGATTTTGGAGTTCTATTAAAAATTGTCTTTTTCTCATTCTTCTCTTCCTAAATCAATTTCTCGCGATCTTACCACTGTTTCTTCTGATTTCGACAAAGCCAATTTTTTAATTCTCATTTTATTTCCTGTTTTTCTAATCTTCAAGTCAAATTCCACCGATCCTTGTGACAGACTTGCCGCGGATGACGTCGTTGAACTTCAGTATTTCTGAACAGATGCGCAGATATTATCTCTTCTCATCTTCAATTTATTTTTAATCTTTATTTATCTACAAGCAATTTTTCAGAGTGGTCCTGTTCCTATTCATAAAAGGTGCTGTTTCTGATATTTCTAATTATCGTTCTGCACCTCTTCCTGTTGTTAGTAAAATTTTTGAAAGTTTTCTATATAACTTTATTCTTGAACGTCTGTTCATAAACAACTATTTTGTAAGTTAGTTTTCATCCAAAATGTTCGACACTTGACGCTTTCCTTTACCTTTCTCTTACCGTTTCTTCTTAGCTAAATTCTGGTGTTAAATGTGTAGGTGTTTTGATTTCTCTAAAGTCTTTGACACTGTCTCATATTCTTTTCTTCTTTGGAAACTACCCTAGTGGAACTTCTTGTACCCAAAATCTTGGGAATAGAAATTTCAAGATCTTGAGCGAATCCACTCAATATGTTGTAAGATCTTAAATGAAAAGTTTTCTTTGCATTTTGTTTTCATTTATGACAGTCACAGCCATCAAATATACGATCATTTAGAATCATAGGTTCTTCCTTAAACAACTATGTTCAGAAAAAAATTCTAAGTTATTCTATTCACACTTATATTTACACAAGTGTAAAACAAAACGATGATTCAAGAATTATTTTGGGTACAAGATTCAATCACTTTAGATCTTGGTTACAAGAAGTTTTATTAGGGTATTTCGTTGTGGTATAACTGATAATTTGTTTGCTCTTTTTCGTCGTATCTTTGTCATCGTTCTCAATGTGCTCATATTAATTATTCTACCTCTTCTTCTTTCCTTCTACTTTCTCTTCCTCCTAACTGTGATATTTGTCTCTTTGCTGATGATATTTTTCTTATTGTTTCCCTTTCTTCTTCTAATCCTTAGGATTTTTCTCACGTTCAAAACTGTATCAGTTCTGTTTCTAACTGGTCTTCCATATTAATGTCTTTGAATGTTTCAAACTGTTGCTGGCTTCCTTTTTCACTCAAGCTTTTTCCTCTTGCTTTCAATCAGCTCTACTTAAATAACTCTCCTTTTACCGTTGTTTCTTCTGTTCGTTGCCTTGATGTTCTTCTTTCACGCGCTCAGGTTGACTTCCCATGCTGAGGATATTGCTCTGAGCTGCAAGCATAAGCTTGGTGCTTTGGGGTGTATCTTTGATCTGGCTCCACCTGAGGTACGACGTTGAATCTATTTGTCGTGTATTCTCCCCAAATTTCATTATTGTTGTGCTCTATATGATGGTTCTTTTTCTCTTCCTATTCTTGATTTGTAGATCAGATCATTTTGGTGCTCGCATTATTCCTCAAAATTTTAATTACTGTGTTCATGGTTCTGGTTTAGCTCTTCAACTTTATCTACCAAATCTCTCTAAACGTCGGTAATACTTCAGTTTTGTTCATTTTTATAAAATCTCTCACTATTTAAGTCATCTCCATATATTTTATACAATACAATCTCTTAATTTCTCTCTTCCTTGTCACCAACACACAAATAGAACACAAGGACACAAAGTTTTTCTTCTGAAATTGTAAAATCTTTTTTTCTGGTCTACAGTAATTGACTAGAAGAATCTTCCACAGTCACTTATTACTTTCTCTTCACTTTTGCCTTTTTAAAAGATCAATATTTAATTTATTTAATATTTAACAGTTGATTGTTACTTTTTACTTAGGGAGCATTTCAAAATTCTTGCCGTTTCCTCTGCCGTTCTGCCACTCTGCCGCGACACAACGAATTTATTTTAATGACATTTCGATATATTATCGGTTTCTTTTGATGTATGTATACGTATACATGAAATTTATTTTGGTAGAGTCAGATGGGGTAATTCCGGCCACTTGCACAAAGTTTCTTAGTATTTTGGGTATTTCTAAGGCGTTTTTAATCGGATAA